AATATTCAACAACTCTCAAACACAGAAAAATAAAAAGGTAATTGTTCCAGTGTTACACTATTGGAGCGACACGTAAAAAAACTTAAATAAACTCAAAAGCAATAAATAATGATGAAGGTTACTACACCATCTTCCAAAATACAACAATAACTAAGGCTCCTCTACCTGAGTATTTGCACCACAGGCGTAAAGAACAACACAAACAAACAAACAGAGGTGAGAATACCTTCATATATGTTAACGATGCATAAAACAACAAGGATAGTTTAAATAATATCACGCATCAATCACATAAATCATCCATACAAAAAATCAACTACAAATGCGGTTATGTTTGCAATTTATCTCATATCCTCTACTTCAATGCATGTGGTACCAAAGTTTTTGGATATCAGAGGTATGTTAATGATTAATCCACTTGCCACTGGTTCATCTCTGAACCATCAGACTCGTCACAGGTTCTACCTTTGAGCCTAAGACTTGTCACTTGACCGAAGTCTGTCACTATCAAACTCGTCGCATGTTTCATCTCTAAACTTGAGACTCGTCACTAGATCAAAGTCTGTCACCTATCTCTGATATACATGATGCATGAATGCAACAAAAAAATGGAATACTTGTCTTAAACCTCTAACTCTAATACTCGTTATCGGTTCATCTCTGACTTAAAATTCAGCATAAACGTTGCCAAAAAAAGGCCACATATTGGTTCCTCTATGAACTAACATATCGACACAACCCAACACTTTTCCTCCTCATGAAGCATTCATCATAAAAACTCATCATTATAATTAAAATAAATGATTTTCTTATCAACATTCATTAAACAACGTCAAACAGTCGGTAAAGTCAAAAATATTCACAACACTCTAGTAAAATGACTACATTCATACAATCAAAACATCTCAGGACATAACCATAAGATTCCTATGTGTCACCTTCCCAACATTTTGAATTGTGCCTCAATCGGAGTCATAGAACTCAAGTTACAAACGAAATGACGTGCTTGGTACAAAAATCAGGGGGCTCATACGGCCGCCCGTGTTGGCTAACATGACCCGTAGCGACTCCTAGACAAGCCCCTCATACACCTATGGTACAAAAACCAGAGGGCTGCTATGGCCGCCCGTAGCGGCTAGCAGTTTCTCAAGACCCAAATTTCTTTACACGATTTCTCTAATTTTTCTCTAGTGAAACATGCCATAAACTCTAATATTTGAGTTCCAACAGTCCCAAAACACATAGCAACTCACAGTACTTGTATCATACGGTAATTAACATATCAAAATACTAAATAAACACTATCACATCAATTCATCATGTTTTTCATCAACACAAACATAAGCATATGAACAATAACATCTTAAATTTCATTATAACATATAATCATATGAAATTCACATCAATAACAACAACTAAGCATGATTAATACAACCAAAACAAAAACACATCAATCTAATTGTAGAGGTTTTGCACAAACCTCACACAGCTCAAATTCATCATCAAAGGAGGAAGAGGAAAAGGGGAAAAATGAAAGAGGAGGCGAATTCCTCTCTATCCTACATGCTTTAACATCCACATTATGAATAGTTCCCTCCCCCTTACCTCGAATTCACATCAAGCTTTCAAGTTACAACAATGGGATCTTTGTCTTTTCCTATCTCTTGCTCTGCTAAGGCTCGTTCTGACTTTGCTGACAACTATTTCTCACAACAATCACCATAACTCTAATTCTCTTATCTATTTAAATAAAACCCTGCTAATTTTATTAATTCACTAACTCCCCCCAATTCTCACTAATTCCACTATTTTTCTTAATTTTAAATTAAAATTCTAATTTCCTCCCCAAAACTCAATTTCTCATTATTTTTATTATTTAAATAACTACAAATTAGTGATAATTCTAATAAAATTCTATCCAGCCTCAATAATACCATTAAAATAAATTTAGCAGTAAAATAAAATAATGTATATCCTTTTAAGCTCTATTAAAATAAAATAAGTGAAACTGGGGTGTTACAATCTTCATCCTACAAGTCGATTTTGTAGGATTGAATTAGGCTTAACCACAGTTTTTAATATGATATCGCATTCCTAAAGACAATATGGTACCAGTCTGACAAAATAACATCATCTCATGTGTGCCTTTTTTCTTCTTTCTCACTACAACGCTCCATCACTACCAAGTTTCATTTTCGTCTGACCAACATCACTCCACGTGTTCTCCTCACCACCCTGTTGCGGCACAAAAAATACCCTAGCGTATGAACGCTCAAAATAGTAACAGTGTCGTCACCGAAGTTTATTTTTAAAGGGGAAACTTCGATAAAACACTAAAAGAACAAAAATATGATCATCACAATCAAATTCAGGTTCGAGAGTGGGTTATGTGTGGCAAAAGTATTAACACTCCACACATCTATTGCACTCAACGGGAACCGTTTAGTCAGTTTTGCAAATATGAGTGTTATCGTATGTTATTTAACTTCTTCTAATTATTACAAGATATTTACATAAATAAAGAACAAGGAAAAATTAGGTTTTTTTTATTAGGGTGTTAGAGAGACGTTGAAGAAAGAGACTTACGTCCAATTAATCTCTTTTCATCCATTTTTTTAGAATAAAAGTTTAATTTAATTGTAAAATAATTTGATTGAGTTGTAAAATAGAGTTTGATTTTTAATGTATTGAAAATAATGTTGAGTTTAATTTTTTTTTATCTTTAAACAATTTACTAATATTAATTAATTAAAAGGAAAATAAAAATCAAGAAATAAAATAAAAGTTAGAGGGTGCAAGCAGTACTATGAGAGTTGGCAAGAAAAGAAATAAAGGGTTTAAGTCCCATAAATTAATGAAAACAAAATCAAACAGGCAGAGTGCAAAAAGTAGATAAGGGGGCATGAATTAGTAAAAAGAGAGGCCAAATGATTGGAGGATTGGACGCCAAACAAAAACTAAAAAATGCATTTGGCGCCTTCGCCCGTCTTTTTAAGATCAGACGATGATTATTAGCTTACAGGCTGCTAAGATGTGAGCCTCTTGATTGTGATTAAACGTTATGATATGAGGGTTCATGGTGGACACGATGGGGGATCCTGTACAAATCCATCGATTTTTAACACTAACATTCACTCCCTATTTGACACATGACATTATAATTATTTAAAAACATAAAAACAACAAACAAGTTTTAAAAATTGAGAAAAAGTGAAAACAGATCAAACATCAGAATATCTCTTCTCTCTCTTTCACACTCTTACTTCTTTCATTCCTCATTCTCTCTTATGAACACATACCCAAAAACAAACAAAGCTCAGTTTCACACCCTACAAAACTAATCAATCAAAACTCAAAAGAAAAAAAAGGGAATGGATGCACATGGGTACCAATTGGCGACGACGAACTTCTGATAGGGGTGGTCGAAATCCGGAATGGGCGACGTTTGTGTTTTGAGTGGCACTCGATTTGGAAAAGGTGGTTAGTGATGCGCGTCGTGCAAGGGTGCAGTGTGCTCTTGCGATTTTCGGAGGTGAGCTTGCGGTGGTGAAGGCGAGCAGTTTCATTTTTTATGCATGTTGTTCCGACGAAAGAGATTGAGCGATTTCTTCCTTAGATTTTTTCTAAAAATCACAAACACTTTCATCTTTCAAACTAATGATTGGATTATGTTTCTAATTCCAATTTTTAACTCTTAGATATTTGTTAGTTACGAAAGTTCTAACATATTTTCTAAAAAATTTAATGGTTGAACATCATATATGAAGATAACGTTCACATTCATAAGGTGTTTCAACTTATCGACCTCGTGTATTCATTTTCTCTTGTTCGATACTTAGAGAGACTCCATAGATCATCTTAAGAGTGTCCCACATCTATTATGTTAGACAAAAAATTTGCGATACAATCACTTATCTAAGAATAATGAGGTCCTTTGAGAAATTCATGTCACTATGGAAGAACTTCAATGCCAAAATAAAGCCATAATATGTGTAATCAACCAAAACCACAAAATGGTGTGGGTTCTTTTCTAAATAATTGGAAGAAAAAACATTTCAATGAATCTTTAGCGCAAAAAAATAAACACATAAATGCAAAAAATCAAGAAGCAATGATTAAATATTTACTTGTGTTTTGATGTGGTTGAGTTTCTTTAAATAAAAAATATTTGTAAACAAAAATTTAAAACTAATTTATGCTTAAAAAATAAAAATAAAAATTGGAAAATAAATTATAATTCAAGATAATATATGAGTAACAAATGTGTTCTATATAGTTTATATGCAATATTGGCAACATAAGTTCTTTAGTAAAATGTGTTCTATATAGTTTATATGCAATATTGGCAACATAAGTTCTTTAGTAAAATGTGTTCAACTTCAATGGTTTTATTAACAACTGTTTTATATTCATATATCAACAAAATTTTATGATTTTGGATGCAATAGAATCCTCGGTTAATCTATTATCTTAAGAGGCATGGATTGATCAAATCCCTGATGAAAGCATTCTCTAAATTAGAGAAAAACATTGAAAACATCATGAAAACCCCTAATAATGACCCTTGTGCATTCAAAACCAAAATTCTCCCAGACCTCCCATCCATTCTTCAAGATGAAACACTCGTTGGAAAGCTGATAAAATTTCCTAGAAGTTGTAACAAAAATCATTCAAATCCATGAACCACAACTCAAGTTATGACCAAATGAAACTAACTCAAAAACACAACTAAAACAACCAACACCTCCCAAATCACAAAACATTTCTTCATATTCTCCACCGTCGATAGCATCCCCATCGAATGGCTGGCATGCAAACTAGAAGAAGGCAGCGATCCTTATCGGATTCTCTGAACCAATTAGAATTAAGTAATCGAATATCACCCCACCTACAATTCACTATTTAAATCATTCTTTTCACTTGAAATTATCACACACAAAAACATTTCAATTCGAACTATAACAAACTCTTCTCTCATCCATAATTCAGTTCCCTTTCAAATGGCCACCGAAGAACCCATCATCGCCGTTGAACCCGTGTCCGAGCCAGCGACCGCCGAACCTGTCTCGGAGAAAGTGGAGGAACCCAAGGCCGAAGCTGAGAAAACGAAGAAAGTCAAGGAAACCAAACCTAAGAAAGCTTCCAAACCACGAAACCCTGCTTCCCATCCTACTTATGAAGAGGTACCATTCAATTCTTCATTTATTCAATTTTATTATTTCGTCATGAATTATAGTTTCAATTGGATCTGATTTTTGATTGGTTTGCTTGAATTGCAGATGATTAAGGATGCAATTGTATCGCTGAAGGAGAAGAATGGTTCTAGCCAATACGCCATTGCGAAATTCATAGAAGAGAAACAGAAACAGCTTCCTGCTAACTTCAAGAAGCTATTGCTCCAAAATTTGAAGAAGAAAGTTGCTTCTGGAAAACTTGTTAAGGTTAAAGGTTCATTCAAGCTTTCTGCAGCGGCTAAGAAGCCAGCAGTTGTCAAGCCGAAGACAAAGCCAGCTGCCAAGAAATCTGTGAAAGCTAAGCCAGTCGCTAAGCCTAAGGCTAAAGCCTTTGTTAAGCCAAAGGTTGCTTCAAAGGCCAAAGCGGTTACTACCAAGCCCAAAGCTGCTGCCAAACCCAAAGCTGCCGCCAAGCCTAAAACTGTTGCGAAGTCCAAAGCAGCTGTGAAACCAAAGCCCGCAAAGGTTGCAAAAACATCAACTAAGACAACACCAGGAAAGAAAGTTGCTGTTACGAAGACTGCGCCTAAGAAAGTAGTTGTTACAAAGAAAGCTCCGGTGAAGAGTGTGAAAGCCAAGACCGTGAAGTCTCCTGCCAGGAAGGCTTCCGGTGTGAAGAGAGGAGGAAAGAAGTGAGAGTTTTGTTTTCTTAGTCTTAGCATTGTAAAAATCTTGTGTTCGTTTTTTATAATACTGTTAGTTTATAACTTTAAATAATATAGTTTATAATAACATAAACTTTCTGGTTTTGTTTTTCGTCCCATTGAATTATTTTTGACAGAGCTATATAATCCTTCATGGTTATTTAAAGCACAAATGAATTACTAAGAGTAACATTAGATTACATTTTAAACTTTCCACTTATTACTATTCTATTTTAATTTCTCGGCTAGGACATTTTTACTTACTGTTTTCAGGCGATTTATTTGTACGTGTCTAATTATGTGTTAGTAACGAATCTGGAATTTGGATCTTTTGCATTATTAGACACGTTAATGATCATACTTTTGAATATTACTTGATTTTTAAGAATGAGTAATTTCGTTTCATTGTGTTTTCTATATCTATGGAATTCTCATGTGTTATTTCGTGGGAGTTAGTAAGACTCAACTAAAAGATTCATCTCATGCAAAAAAAACAAGCTGGATTTGGTATCATGTTGACGAGTTTGAGTTGATCTTTGAGATATGGGGTCCGTCTTAATATATTTTGAAAGCATGTAGTTGAGCCTTGAATGGCCTATTATATTTATATTTTGAATGTTGCTGTAGGTTATCTCGATCCCAGTACTATACCCATACAAAATGAATGGACACAAAATGAATAATTAAACATGTATGGATCATTCAAAACATGATACGCCATTTTTTAGTAAAATTAAAAGAATATATTTCCATTCTTTCGAATCATTTAAAGTAATTTAGCTTGCTAAAAACAATGCTTTGTTTTCAACACAAATTACATATTATAAATTTTTTTTAGCACTATATCTATTTAGGGGTGCTACTTCAAAAGTTGCAAAATATCATAGATTCTATAGATGTATCTTTTCGAATGTATTTAAAATATGTGAATTTTTATCTATCAATGTTAAAAAATTGGATAGAGTTATCCATAGAAAAAATTACATTTAAAATTTATTAAATTAATAATTAAATATAATAAAACGACATGATATTAATTAATTAGTTGAATATATATTACTCAATTTTTTTGGAGTGGATAATGAAGTTATCCCCTTTAAAATATTCATAGTTATCTTAAATTTTTTACACAATCCTTTTATCAGGATTTAATAATTTTGAAAACTTTTTAAATGATTTAGGTCTTTATCTTAAGTTGAAAATGGCCATTCAACTATAAAGTTAAAATTAGTGTTTTTTAACAAGGCATCTCTATCGAATGATATTGATGATTTTGGTCGAGATTTCAACCAATTAGTTAAAGATAAAAAATTGTTAGTTTCTGAATTTATTGAAATTTAGTGTCCAAAATTATTTACTTCATGCAGTCGAATGAGGTGTAAATGGATAAGATCAGACAATTATATGAGAACAAGTGAAAGTCTGTCGAAGATGAATGTTTCATGGAGATGAAGGTGTGACATGATTTGCTTAGTCGACCATTGCAGATGGTTAAGTGAGGACTAGTATATAAGTGGAGTTCACTTGTAGTTTTAGAGGTTTGCAATTGAACACAAATTTTGTAAACTCAATGTATACGTGTGTTTGTGAGAAAAGAGTCAAGAATGTGTGTATATGTGTTCCATTTTATAAATTGAAGTCTTTATTTTCAAGTCATTTATTATTTTCCAAATTATTTTTTACATTTTCTTTCAATCTCGACTGTGATGTTCAATTATCTTCAAACTTATGATTTTCACACGTCATGAGATCTTTTCGAGTTTAATCCCTTAAATGAAATCAATCTTGTTTTTGTTTGCCAATTTGCATAGTAAAAAAATCGGCACACACGATGGGACCCTTTTGTGTGAAGATTTATACTTTCGCTTTTAAAAAACCATTTGCAAAGTTCTTCATTTAAGAAATTTCTCAAATTTGTGAGTGTACATGAGATTGAGGAGTGGTAAGATAATCAAAACATATGTTAGAAAACCAACGAGGAGATACATTAGGATAATGGTTACTCCCAGAAACAACAATAATGGAAAACAACCATCCAATAACACGAGGACAGGCACAATTGCTACAAATTTGATTGAACCATTCACCTCCATAACCAGCACGATAGCCATACCGTCAACGACGACCGTACTGTCAATTGCATAGGAAGGGATGGTATTTCCCCCCTCAATAACACGGAGTCACCCCGTGACTCCCCGACCAACTATGGCAACTGACTTTAGGTTTTTTGCCACAAGTTTCACAATGTTTATTCCTGGTCGTGAACAATCTTATGGTATGTCAACATCAATGATAGCAAACTTGCATACAAACGCTTTGACATTTATTGACCATGTTGTGAATGCATATTCACCACAGTTTGCACCAGGATAGGCTATAGGTGATCCTGGTTGAACCATGCAACCCCAATTAGAGATAGGATTTAGTTCCCAAGCGATGCCAATGTTCACCACAAATTTGGTGATAGCGATGAGACAACAAATGGAGGAAAGTAACAATGATATGGTTAACATGGTTACCCAAAAAATGGGTACTATATTTAACCTATTAGACGAAGACAACTTATCGAGAGGAATAAAATTTTATTTACAAAAGTTGTTTTTTAAAAACGATGGCTAGCAGAAGTGAATTGGATCGATTCGTTTAAACCGAACCACTATTCAAAAGTTTGGATATGCGTATATGAAAATCAATCAAAGATAGTGATATGTTATTCAATCAATATGTTTCAATCACAACCTCTTGAAGGCAACTCAACAAGCAATGTTATATATCCAATGATAATTCACACAAAAATACAGTGAGGAAAATTATCGAGCACCTTGTGTGCAATCAATTTTATTTGGAAATTTGTATAGTTAAATTGATCTTAAACTCCAACCATAATCTTAAGGATTATGATCAAGTCAACAAAACATTTTTCAAATGAATTTCAAAATAATTTTCCAAACGAATTAATTGCACAAATGATGACCTCAACAATTTGCAAATGAAATTTAAAAGAGATAGAGATAGATAGATAGATAGATAGAGAGAGAAAGAGAGAAAGAGAGAGAGAGAGAGAGAGAGAGAGAGAGAGAGAGAGAGAGAGAGAGAGAGAGAGAGAGAGAGAGAGAGAGAGAGAAAGAGATTACACAATGATTTGTTTAGGTAGTTCCCCAATCAGCTTCGCTATGGGCACGTCTGCTCTTAATTCAAACTTAAATTGAGATAGTGAAATTAACCTTACTTTGCATATTGTAGTTTACAAGAGAAATGTAGCAATGCAACCCTACAAACCTTATGTTCGATGTTGATCTTAACACTTTCTCTTCCCCTAATCTTAGCTTGATCAAGTCACCAAATAATGCTAATTTGATTCACTGTCTCACACTACTCCTTTGCAAGAACTGCAGCTCTTCAAAGCCTTCACTCGATCGAGTCCAAATTACTAATTGTTGTAACCCAAGATTTACCAAGATCATCCACCATCCCACGCTACTTCTTTATAAGAAGCGCAACTCTTCAAAGTTTCACTCGATTGAATCCAACTTGAGTAATCTTCTCTAATACAATCTCCACTTTGATTTCTTATTTGAAACCCCAAAAGATCTCAATCCAATTTACAATACCATAAGCTAAATTGAACGTTATCAACTTGATTCTAGACGGCACCAAAATAATGAATAATTATGTGTACTTTGTTTGTGTGTATGCATAAAATCAAGGTTGAAGATGAAGAAGACTCTTTGTATGATCCAAGTTTCGTTTATGATATTTCCAAAATCATGAATATATATATATATATATATATATATATATATATATATATATATATATATATATATATATATATATATATATATATATATATATATATATATATATATATATATATATATATATATATATATATATATATATATATATATATATATATATATATATATATATATATATATATATATATATATATATATATATATATATATATATATATATATATATATATATATATATATATATATATATATATATATATATATATATATATATATATATATATATATATATATATATATATATATATATATATATACAACACACACACACGCACACACACACACACACACACACACACACACACACACACACACACACACACACACACACACACACACACACACACACACACACACACACACACACACACACACACACACACACACACACACACACACATATATATATATATATATGAGCAAGTAAGAAGAAAAAGAAATTCAAAACGAATGGAAAACAATGCAAAATTTTCAAGAATTTTAATGTACAGGTCGACCTATGTAAGTTATGTATCGACCTATGCAGGTCATGTGTCGACTTGTATAGGCAACACATCTAACAGAGCCTACAACCTTTAAAAAAGCAGCACATGAGTCGGCCTATAAAATGTATGTGTTTACCTGTAAAAAAAAAATTTCCTTCTATGTGTCGACCTATAATGCGTATGTGTCATTGTAGGCAATTTTTCACACAAAAATGAGTGTTTGATGAATAAAACTATTTCTTGATGCATGAATCTTTTCTAAACCTTTTCTTAATACTAAAATGCACAGCTAGACTCAAATGATACCAACTAAACTCAGATGATACCGTCCAATCTATATAAATGCTAAATCATCTTAGCTTTGACATCATTGAAAATACATCTAATAGAAAGTTGCACTCACATAACCCTTTGATTCAAAATACATATCAGAGTTACCAATAATTGGTGACTCAAATGAATTACATTGCATATTTCTTTGGCACCCCCAAGCGCAAGTTCGACCAATTGTAACCCCAAGTGGCTAGGCCGATTCAAAACGAGGGGATGAACCTTGAAGAAAACACACTTAATTAGGGCCAAGCATTTGTGCCTCATATAGTCGAACAAGAAAGGCTTAGAGAAGTCGATCGACCTCTAGTTTAAGTGGTTAATAGAAATCAGTATGCCAACCAAGTGATCCATCA